TTAACCAACTGAGCCATACAAGCTCCCTGAAAATGTTTTTTTAATGTTCATTTATTTCTGAGAGAGAGAGAGAAAGAAAATGTGAGTGGGGCAAGGGCAGAGAGATGGGGTACAGAGGATCCCAAGCAGGCTCTGTGAGGACAGCACAGAGCCAGATGTGGGGCTCAAACTCCTGAACCATGAGATCATGATCTGAGCCAAATGCTCAACTGACTGAGTCACCTCAGTGCCCTATGAGGCTAAGATTTTAACAGAAGCGCTGCGCAGGTACAAAAGTCAGAGAGGTCAGGGGAGCATCTGAAGATTTGGGAGTTGGAATCAACCTTGAGGACAGGTCATTTTCTTCAGGTGCATGTGTAAAATCAGCTAGACAGAAAACGCAATATAGAAACAGAGGGAAAGGTGCTTGGCAGGTTGGGTGGAGAGGGTTGGATCCAAACTGGGAGCTCTGGCCTTGCCCAAGAGCGCCACTGGCCGGCGAAGTTGGAAGATGAAGCAAGAGAAGGGTGCTTTGGAAGGACTTTAGGCACATAACACCAGCTGGCTTGGGGACAGCCTTGTAAGACACCAGCAGGAGTATTTACAGTAGGTCTGTGCTGAGTGCTGAGGGCCTGAACTGAAGCATTTGTGCAGGGAATGCGGAGAGGAAGACAATGATGGATGTCACTTGGGCTTCTCTCTTGGCTTGGGGCAGGGCAGTACACTTCCTTCCTTCTCTCCTCTTCGGATGGTTTTATGTTTTCTATTCTTCAGTCTCTTAACTGATGTTAGGGTTATTTGTGTTTAGAAAGAACAGTATAAAAAACGCTATGCTATAATCCTATCGTTTTCATACACAGACTAAACAGTTTAAAAAAAACAGGTTAGAAAATAATCAGTTACAAACAGGTTTAAAAAAAGTAGATGAGGGGCGCCTGGGTGGCTCAGTCAGTTAAGCGTCTGACTCTTGATTTTGGCTCAGGTCGTGATCTCGTGGTTTGTGAGTTTGTGCCCCGCGATGGGCTCTGTGCCCACAGCGTGGAGCCTGCTTGGAGAGGTTCTCTCTCTCTCCCTTCCTCTCTGGCTCTCCCCCCTCAAAATACACAAATAAGCTTGAAAAGAACAGATGAAGGCCAGAGTCCCACTTCTCCCCTCCATGGTCACAGGGTATTGAGTACCACCGATGGCCGAGGCAAAATACTCACAGTGCTAGGAAGAAGTGGATTCGTTGGAATTGCCAGGAGAAGAGGCCAGCACGGCTAAAGTAAGCTACGACCATAGACAGGAGATACTGATGGGGAGAGGAAAAAAGCCATAAGACAGGGATCACATCCTAGGGGAAGGAGAAAAGTGGGGCAGGGCGTGGAAGGCCTCAGCAGGTGCTCCTGCTCCCACATGTCGGCTGAACCTGCTTATTTGGTATCAGAAGGTTGGCTGCAAACCCAGGAAGTCAAGGGGAGAGCTTCCGGTGCTCCCAGGCTGGCTTGCTCTGCTGTTTGGGGGGCTTGTCTTTAGGATAGCCAGCTTCAGGAGGGTCTTTGATAAGCTGGAGCAAAGGGGAGCCCCCAGGAGCTGAGAGGAGAGGGGACTTAAGGTGACAACAGCCAGAGAGCCACAACAAGGGTTCAGATCCCAGAGTATCTGCAAGAAACCATGAGGCGCCTGAAGGGAAGTGTAGGCAGCATCAGGTTGGAGAGAGAAGGAGAGCTGAGGGTTCAGAAGGCATCCGCCTGCCCCGGGACAGACGTTGGAGCGAGCGGGAGTACATCTTAGTGGAGAGTGACAGACGATACCTTGTCAGATACCCTCAGGTTTTTGTCCCAGGCCAGGAATCTTTTAACGACAGGATCTTCTGTGAGAAGAAGGCATGTGTTAGGTTGGGAACCAGAACTGGGTTAGTGTGGGAACATTCCAGAGTGAAGAGGAGAATGATGCTTCCCCCTGAAGAGGAGAAAGAGCTTGTAGGATGTGGCCAAGGGTGAGGCTGATGGGCAGAGGTGAGAGGAGACCACTCCCTGGCCAAGAAAATATGGTGGTATCCTTGCGGGGTGGCCAAGAGAGAGCTAGGATTCGGATCTTCAGTAAACAGTGGTGCTCTGTCATTATCACGTACTGCTGCAGGGGCCACAGAGACCATAGAGTCATTCACCATCATTTTCTCATTTGACAGTGACCTCAGGGTACAAAGATGGCCTGTCATCCCCCTTCACACAGATGACGGCATTTAGTTTCAAAAGGCCACTAAGAGCTGAGATGTCCCAGGGGCATGACCAAAACCAAGGTTTCTTGTCCCAAAGACAGACCTTTCTCCAAGTGTCACCTAATCCTCTGTCGTTTTTAAGTGTCCCTGATGAGGATCAATATGGGGTCCTCCAAGGATGGAGAGAGAGCTCAGCAGCTAGCAGAGAAGTCTTTTCCATTGGAAAAGTGTAGGCATTGGAAGTTTCTTGTTTTTTTAAGGAAAAAAAAGAAAGGATAGGATTGGAGGGTGCTCTGCCTACCCAGCAGCCTGTTGAAAACCTCATGGTGCTCAGGCAGCACTGAAGACAACCGCTGTCTCTTCAACTTCATCTTGAGTCCACACAGCGTCTCCACGACCCAGACGTCCTCAGCCCCTGGGGCTGTCTCCTCCTCTGACTCCTCCCTTCTCCTCTTCCAGCCACAGGAGGGAGGCGGGGGGTGGGGGTCTACCCGGGGGGCTGAGTGAACAAACCAGGCTCCAATATAAAGCTTCTGTCTTTGGGATTCAGCCATTGGTCACCCAAGCCCCTCCGCAACCCAAACCTCCCCTCATCCTCTCTGACCTCGGAGACTATTGGCCTCTCCCAAACCATCTTTCCGTCTTTCTGCCTTGTTGATATCCACCTGCCCCCATTCATCTTTGCCACTGTTCCATCCCCCTGCCCTCGAAACTCTTCCTCATTATAGTCAATCTCTCCCATTGGAATAATGGAATAGTGGAATGATTTCCTCTCCTCCTTTATCTCATTTGAGGATCTCATCTCCTGACCCTCCTTCCTTGCCCCCCAGGTTTTCCTTCCATGGGGATATCCTTGTCCTTAGGTCCTGGCTCTCTGAATCTCTCCTGTCACACAAACCCTACTCACATGCTCCTTTCTGACTTCTGTACCCCTTCCTCCTTCCTAGTCAACACTCTCAAGTCCCTTCTTCCTCCTGCTTCCTCACCTGATGGTCCTGGGCTTTCTTCACCCATTACTGCCTGCAGGGGGTACCCTGAGGAGCTGGGCTGTGGGCTCTGGTCCTCACACCCGGGAACACGGTTGACAACCGGCCATGATTTCTCCCAAACTGTTTCTTCCCTTCCAGAAAACTTAGATTGTGTTCTGCTCAAACTCCTCTTCTGGATTCTGGCTGAACACAAGTCCGTTATCACTTCTCCAAGCTGGGGAAAAGCTGGAAGTGAAGAAAAGCTCTGAGAAGATGCTGTTGTCCACCTCCGCTGCTAAGCACTATGGAGTTTGATCCTTCCAATCAGGAAGGTCAGAAGCCTCTGATGTCATCGGTCATTCCAGTCTGGCAACCAGTTTGAAGGAAAACACGCGTAACTGCCAGACAGGTGTCCACTTTGGAGATCGGGGTAAAGGATATCTCCTGCCGCCAACCCAGCCTTGGACCGTCCTCCAGAACTGTCCTCCAGAGTCTGGACCACTCTCCAGCAGATGCCAGGCTCCCTCCATGCTAAACTTGAACCATGTCAGACTCTCTCCACCCCTCTACTCCTATTTCAAGGCGCAGTCTGGCGGGAGAGGGAGGAAGCCAACAAGGAAATTTAGCAGGAAGGTAAGACCTTGTGAGAGTGAAATCAGTATGTAAAGAAGGTCCCAGGGACATTGATTTGTTGGGTTAAAAGCTAGTTCAAAATGCTGAATTTGACAGAGCTCCTGTGCTCGATGTTTACTGACACTATGTTTACTGATGCGATTCTGGGCTGGAGGGACACTCATGCTGTACTGAGCCCAAGAGACTTTTTGGGGAGACTGTTTGAAGCGTGCTCACACACGCTTCAAATGGTGTCTACAGTTTCTGAAGTCTAGGGGTCGCTCCAAACCTGCCCGTCAGTTGCCATTAATCAGCTCCGGTCTGCAGATAAAGTTTGTGAGCATGTGTATCACTCCTGACCCAGAAATTTCACTACCATTTGTGTATCCTAAGAAGAAAATGGCACATGCACAAAAAGACTAAATGGAAAAATCGCCAGGACAGAATCTGTTTTATTGAGGTGGGGAGACACATGAAAGTATGGATGTAGTAATGCGGACGACCAACTGGTTGCCCCTGTGGTATCAGAGGAAGCGTCGTCTGAACCTCCTTCCTCCTACCTACCTCCTACCTCTGCTTCTCACCCGGGCATCTGAGACTTGCCCTTTCTTCCTTTCCTTTCCTTTCCTTTCCTTTCCTTTCCTTT